CCAGCAAGCTCTCTGCAGCGTTACTATACTGCAAATAGCCAACAAATACAGTCTTGCATATAACTGCCCTCCTACTGTCATGAATAGAAACAATCATGAATCGACGAAAACGGGCATCTGGAAGGAACCACTATGCCAATAGGATGTCGGACTGAATGGGCCTTGGCCTGACCCAGCAAGGCTCTTCAAATGTGTTTATGTTCCCCTGACTATGGGGACGCCTTGCAGGAGTCTCACCCGTCTCATGGCTATTCTTCTAGCGTGGACCAGTTCGACAAGCTCTCCCCCGAAAGCAGGTGCACCATCCAGATCATGCTGGCGCTGTACCTGAAGAAGAAAGCAAACACAGACCAGGAGGCAGGGACTTCTAGGGGAAGCGAGGCCTTCATGCGGGAAGCCTTGACTCCTCACGTGCTCCCCGGGATCAGCTTCGACCCCACCACCCAGTCTTCTGCTGCAGCAGATGAGGATGGGCATTCCTCCCCTTTCAACCATCTGGCAGAGTCACTCTTCCCCCTGGCCCAGAACAGGAGGCTCCTTCCCAACACGCAGAATGCCTTGCACGTGATCGATGGGCCTGTGCTCACTGTGACATAGGCAGGGCCGGATTTATGTATAGGCTAAGTAGGCTGAAGCCTAGGGCCTCTAGATCTAGGGGCCTCGCCAGCCTGCCCGCCCCCAGCGCCGCAGACACTCTTCCCACTCCCCAAAATGCAAACCCAAGACTTCATGCAGGGCATTTTTTCCCCCATTTCAAGGACATTTTGCTTCAAAAGGAAAGGTGGACTTGGAGAAGGCAAGCAAAATGCGAGGGAGATAGTGAAAGATACAGGAAATTGAATGCAGATTTCCAAAAAATAGCAAGGAGAGATAAGAGGGCCTTCTTACACGAGCAATGCAAAGAAATAGAGGAAAACAACAGAATGGGAAGAACCAGAGATCTGTTCAAGAAAACTGGAGATATGAAAGGAACATTTCATACAAAGAGTACCATAATAAAGGACAAAGGTGGAAAGGACCTAACAGAAACAGAAGACGTCAAGAAGAGGTGGCAAGTATACACAGAGGAATTATACCAGAAAGATATGGATGTCTCATACACCCCAGGTAGTGTGGTTGCTGACCTTGAGCCTGACATCCTGGAGAGCAAAGTCAAATGGGCCTTAGAAAGCACTGCTAATAACAAGGCCAGTGGAAGTGATGATATTCCAGCTGAACTATTAAATTTTGTTAAAGATGATGCTGTTAAGGTGCTACACGCAATATGCCAGCAAGTTTGGAAAACTCAGCAGTGGCCAGAGGATTGGAGAAGACCAGTCTACCTCCTTTAGAGGAAAAGGCCTTGAGGGGAAGGACCTGTTGCCTCCACAATCCTTCCTAAACATGCATAAGCTGAGAGGCAATTGTCCGACAAATGTGGTGCTGTGGGGAGGCAGGAAGATTTTCCTGCAGTTAAGTATTTTCTAAGTTCCTTTCCCGAAACTTCCCCAAACGGTTCTGAAGCCTCTCTAACCTCAGAAGTCTTTTCCTCTCTCCGGAATTCTGGGATTCGAGGATAACTTCATGGAGAAGGAAAGAAACCTGCAGAATCAGCAAATGAGTGCCCGCCGGGAGCCTCCACCCCACCGCTGCCACCAAGCAGGCTGTAAGTTGCCTTAGAGGTGTACTGTGCCCTCCCGCCTCCTTGCTTTTATGTACTACTTGAGTTCTGTTCTCATCTCCCTGAGGCGTATCCGTGACAAGGAGAGCATGAGCAAGAAGCAACCCCAATGACCCACACTATGTGCCAGCTCTTTGTGCCTTCCACACATACGCAGTCCGGACAGAGAGAGGGACTCATCAAGCACGTCCTCGCCAAGAGAGAGAAGGAATATGTCAACACCCAGAATTTCAGGTCAGATCATGGAAAAGTGCAAACACCAGTGGAACCTGTATCAGAGTTGGGGCTGGAGAAAGTGACATCTACATGACAGCTTTATTGTTGGGTGCCAGGCAAAGTCTGTCCTGTTCACTCAGGCCACATGGGTGGGTAATTGAAAGTATTAGTTGTGGTGGGCAATTTTCCTTGGTGCCACATACTGAACCGTGGCTTCATATTATGAACAGGACGGCAGCCTCTCCTCCAGGTTTGCACACCTCTCCCCCACCCCAAGCCTATTGGGAAGCTTCCACTTGGATTTTAAATTAACCACAGTTTGGTGTGTCCAGATCCTATGGTGCTTAATTTTACCAGCTTTGTAAACCCACGATTGGAAGTTGGCTTGTTTCAATGAGCCATGGTTCAAATGAAGCGGTTTGTGCAGCTTCAGACATTGTGACAAGATGCAGTTAATCCAAAACTGAAGCAAAACCTTTTGAACTCCTACTAAAAGCTGTGCTGGAGGACAGGGAGGTGTGACCCCCCCACACACACTTGGTGTGGGTCATCCTTATAATGCTCAGCTTACTACTTCAAACAAAGTTTTTGCTTTGGTTATTTCCTCGTACTGTTAGTAGTAAGGTAAATGTAAAGGGACCCCTGACCATTAGGTCCAGTCATGGCTGACTCTGGGGTTGCGGCGCTCATCTCGCTTTATTGGCCGAGGGAGCCGGCGTCCAGCTTCCGGGTCATGTTGCCAGCATGACTAAGCCGCTTCTGGCGAACCAGAGCAGCACACGGAAACACCGTTTACCTTCCCACCAGAGCGGTACCTATTGATCTAATTGCACTTGGACGTGCTTTCGAACTGCTAGGTTGGCAGGAGCAGGGACCGAGCAACGGGAGCTCACCCCATCGTGGGGATTCGAACCACCGACCTTCTGATCTGCAAGTCCTACGCTCTGTGGTTTAACCCACACCGCCACCCGTGTCCCACTGTTAGTAGTACCCAGTGGCCATTTGTTTTTAATGTCTGCTTTTATGATATGTTTATCAGTATGTGGTTAGCAGCTTCAGATGCTACTGTTTTACAGAGGCTGTTTAGCTTGCTCTTTTTACCCCTTTACTAGACAGGCTGTATTTCTGTGCTGTTTTCAGAGTGGGGAATGCCCATTCCTTCATGGCCAGCATGGAAACACAGAAGGCTAGCCATTTAGGAGGTTTGCAAAGAGGACAAGGGCACAGCAGATCTGAGAGGTGGTTTTCTGCTCCCGGAAAGCCAGCCTGGAAACCAGGTTGCCAGGTGAAGGAAGAATGGAGAGATCAACCAACTCACTTGCCTTCAAAGAATTTCTGGTTGCCTGTGGCTACTGGGATAGTGCTTAGATATCAGGCTGGCTGACACATCTTAAAAAATACAAGGAAAAAGCTTTTTTTCTTTCATTAGCAAAGCTCCTTTGGGGCCCAGAATAGCTAAGCTGAGGAAGAAGTGGCTGGTATTACTTGTTTGTTCTTGGTCCTGATCTTGCCTGCCCTTGTAATCCTACCTGCCACACACTCCTGTTGTCTTTGCATATTTAACCAGCACGTCTGTTCAGATTGGAGTCCTATTCCTGCAGTTCCACATTTGGCACTTGGGCATTCGGTTCCAGGAGCTGGACCTGAGCACAGAGGCTTTCTTCTACTTGGACTCGACAAAGGAGCAAGAGTGGCTGACAGCTGTGGAAAAGGCTTTGCATTCCAAATCCAGGATATTTCCGTTCCACCTTAAAAGGGAGCAGGCTTTGGTGTCACAGAGTCTGCGTATTTCCTGTTCACAGGAAGTTTATGTTGTGTCTATGCTTTCGCTCTCTCTGTGCCAGAGACACTGAAGCTGGCAGTCATGTTTTCTTTGTTCTGATCAGCGCTGAATAAACTTGTAAATATGCTCTCCTGCGTGCATCTTTCGCTGTGCATTATCTGCTGATAGAGCGTGCATCGGCTCTGGAATGTGGCAAGCTATTTCTGGAAGCTCGTGTCGCTAATTGAATGATACTGCATGTCTACGGGAGATCGATGAACGTCCGGAGGTGGCTTGGGGGCCATGATGGACTTTGTCTCACTGGCAGTATCCCAACAACAGGTTTCGGGCCCAGATTCACAGCACTTACAGGAGAGTAAGACTGCGAAAGAGACTGTGAAGGTATGTGTGGGAAAAGCGAAAGCAAATGAGGCTTTTCTGATGCCGCGGAAGTCTCTTTGAACTCCAGCAGACTAATTGGTCTGGGAGTTGAGCCAAGCAGGCTTCGTGATTTATGGGTGCCAAGATAAGGAGTCTCTGAAGTGAAAAAGACTCACGGCTCAAGTGAATAGCTGGAATGGAGTTTTTACAAGCTTCTGAAGCTGCTGAGTGCCCAAAGTTAAATCGGCACAATTATGAGACCTGAGCAAAATTGTGTGAAAGTTTGCTGCATCAGTTTGGAGTGTGGCATACTGTGTCTGAAGCCCCTCCAGTTCCTCTGACAGATAGATCATAGAATCATAGAATCATAGAGTTGGAAGAGACCACAAGGGCCATCGAGTCCAACCCCCTGCCAAGCAGGAAACACCATCAGAGCACTCCTGACATATGGTTGTCAAGCCTCTGCTTAAAGACCTCCAAAGAAGGAGACTCCACCACACTCCTTGGCAGCAAATTCCACTGTCAGAACAGCTCTTACTGTCAGGAAGTTCTTCCTAATGTTTAGGTGGAATCTTCTTTCTTGTAGTTGGATCCATTGCTCTGTGTCCGCTTCTCTGGAGCAGCAGAAAACAACCTTTCTCCCTCCTCTATGTGACATCCTTTTATATATTTGAACATGGCTATCATATCACCCCTTAACCTCCTCTTCTCCAGGCTAAACAAGCCCAGCTCCTTAGCCGTTCCTCATAAGGCATCGTTTCCAGGCCTTTGACCATTTTGGTTGCCCTCCTCTGGACACGTTCCAGTTTGTCAGTGTCCTTCTTGAACTGTGGTGCCCAGAACTGGACACAGTACTCCAGGTGAGGTCTGACCAGAGCAGAATACAGTGGCACTATTACTTCCCTTGGTCTAGATGCTATACTCCTATTGATGCAGCCCAGAATTGCATTGGCTTTTTTAGCTGCCGCATCACACTGTTGGCTCATGTCAAGTTTGTGGTCAACCAAGACTCCTAGATCCTTTTCACATGTACTGCGCTCAAGCCAGGTGTCACCCATCTTGTATTTGTGCCTCTCATTTTTTTTGCCCAAGTGCAATACTTTACATTTCTCCCTGTTAAAATTCATCTTGTTTCTTTTGGCCCAGTTCTCTAATCTGTCAAGGTCGTTTTGAAGTGTGATCCTGTCCTCTGGGGTGTTAGCCACCCCTCCCAGTTTGGTGTCATCTGCAAATTTGATCAGGATGCCCTTGAGACAATCATCCAAGTCGTTGATAAAGATGTTGAATAAGACCGGGCCCAAGACAGAACCCTGTGGCACCCCACTAGTCACTCTTCTCCAGGATGAAGAGAAACCATTGATGAGCACCCTTTGGGTTCGGTCCAGTCAGCCAGTTACAAATCCACTGAGTGGTAGCATAGTCAAGACCGCATTTTACCAGCTTCTTTACAAGAATATCATGGGGCACCTTGTCAAATGCCTTGCTGAAATCAAGGTAGGCTACATCCACTGCGTTCCCTTCATCTACCAGGCTTGTAATTCTGTCAAAAAACGAGATCAGGTTAGTCTGACATGACTTATTTTTCAGAAATCCATGCTGACTATTGGTGATCACAGCATTCCTTTCTAGGTGCTCACAGACTGTTTGCTTAATGATCTGCTCCAGAATCTTCCCTGGTATTGATGTCAGACTGACTGGGCGGTAATTATTTGGGTCCTCTCTTTTCCCCTTTTTGAAAATAGGGACAACATTTGCCCTCCTCCAGTCTGCCGGGACTTCGCCTGTTCTCCAGGAATTCTCAAAGATGACTGCCAGTGGTTCTGAGATCACATCTGCCAGTTCTTTTAATACTCTTGGATGCAGTTCATCTGGCCCTGGAGACTTGAATACATCTAAACTAGCCAAGTATTCTTGTACTATCTCCTTAGTTATTCTGGGCTGTGTTTCCTCTGCTGAATCATTTGCTTCAAATTCTTCAGGTCGGGCATTGTTTTCTTTATCGGAGAAGACTGAGGCAAAGAAGGCATTGAGGAGTTCAGCCATTTCTGTGTCCCCTGTTTGCATTTCACCATCTTCTCCTCTGAGTGACCCCACTGTTTCTTTGTTCTTCCTTTTGCTACGAACATACCCATAAAAGCCTTTTTTTTGTTGCTTTTAACCTCTCTAGCAAGCCTGAGTTCATTCTGTGCTTTAGCTTTTCTGACTTTGTGTCTACACGTGCTGGCTATTTGTTTGAATTCCTCTTTGGTGGTTCCCCCCTTTCCATTTTTGTACACATCCTTTTTAATCTTAACTCAGTTAAAAGTTCTTTAGATAGCCACCCTGGCTTCTTTAGGCACCTTCCATGTTTCCGTCTCATTGGTATTGCCTGAAGTTGTGCTTTTACTATCTCCCTCTTAACAAACTGCCAGCCATCATGAACTCCCTTTCCTTTTAGTATTACTGTCCATGGGATCTCACCCAGCACTTCCCTAAGTTTTATGAAGTCGGCTTTCTTAAAGTCAAGAAATTGAGTCCTAGTATGCTTGGCTGCTCCTTTCCGCTGTATAGTAAACTTCAGAAGAGCATGATCACTCGCGCCTAATGATCCTTCCACTTCTACCCCACTAACCAGGTCATCAACATTGGTTAGGACCAGATCTAAAATGGCTGTTCCTCTTGTTGCTTCTCCCACTTTCTGAACAATGAAGTTGTCTGCAAGGCCAGTGAGGAATCTGTTTGACCTTATGCTCTTGGCTGAGTTTGACATCCAACAAATATCCGGGTAATTGAAGTCCCCCGTTACTACTATCTCCCTTCCTTTTGCATGCTTGGCCATCTGTTCCAGGAAGGCATCATCTATGTCCTCCGTTTGGCTTGGGGATCTATAGTAAACTCCCACAATGAGGTCACTGTTATTCTTCTCTCCCTTAATTTTGACCCAAATGCTCTCACTTTGGCTTTGAGGTTCTAAATCTTGGATCTCTTCACAGGTATACACATCCCTGACATATAACGCCACTCCTCCTCCTTTCTTGTCTGGTCTGTTTCTTTGAAATAGATTGTATCCCTCCATTATTACATTCCAATCATTGGACTTATCCCACCAGGTTTCAGTGATGCTTATTATGTCATATGTAGTTTGCTGTACCAAGAGCTCAAGCTCATCTTGTTTATTTCCCATGCTTTGCGCATTAGTGTACAGACATTGAAGTCCATTAATCATTCCCCCGTGTCTCTTATTTAAGGTTTTTTTCCTCCCACCACTAGGTCTGCGTGCTGTTTGCTCCATTTGGTCTATGACATTTGGCTGATCATCTTCATCAATTGATAGGCTCCTACCTTCAGGAACACTGTCTCCCTCCCCCACATTAGTCAGTTTAAACCCCCCTGATGAGGTTTCTGAGATTTTTCGCAAAAACATTCCTCCCAACCGTTGTGAGGTGCAGCCCATCGCTTGCCAGAAGTCCATCTTCAAGAAACTACAGTCCGTGATCTAAGAATCCAAACCGTTCCTGTTTACACCATTTGTGAAGCCAGCTGTTCACTTCCACTATTTTTCCCTCTCTCCCTCTTCTCTCCTCTCAAAAATTTTTCTCCTTGTGTTTGAATTTCAATTGCCACAAATCTTCCTTGGTCATCTTTAAAAACAAATTTCGGTGATAATCTGTCCTTTGCATAAATCACAACCCCTCTTTTTTTGACTTTGTCCGATGAAATAAACTCCTGACCAAGTCTTTTATTTATCAACAATTTCCTGTGTAATCTTGTTATATGTGTTTCTTGTAAACAAATTAAGTCCAATTGTTCCTTTTTTAATAGATGAAATACTGATTTCCTTTTCTGAGGGGAATTCAAACCACGACAGTTCCAGGTTAATAGTTGCAGGGCCATGATGTAATTATTTTCGTTCTCCTCCAACGGCACCTAGTGCCTGTTCCTCTTCCGTCGGTGGTATCACTTTTTTCAGACGGTCTTTTAGTTCCAGAGATAGTCCTGGTGTTTCTAAAGCTTCTCTTGCAGTTGTTCTTAACTCTCCTGTGGCTTTCTTTTGTAGGTCTTCTCCGTGGTCTCTCCAAAATTTGTCTTTGTCGTCTTCCGATCTTATTTTCCTCTTCTTTCCTTTGTAGCTAAAAGATAGGCCTTGAGGAAATTCCCACCTGAAATTAATCCTATTACTTTTCAGCAAAGTAACCAGGTCTTTATAGTTAGATCTGAGATCCAGAAGGTGTTTCGGAATGTCCTTAAATATCTCCACTCTTGTCTGATGTATTTCCAGTGTCTTCTGGAAATGCAAGCCCAAGATCTTATCCCTCTCTTCTTTTGTTCGAAGAGTGATCAAACAGTCTCTCACCTTTTTTTCTCCTCTTTTTACAAGTCTGAAGGCGTTCACTATTTTAAAACTGTCCTTTACCAGTTCTGGATTCCAAAAGTCTAAAAATTCCTGCGTAAGAAATTCAGCTAAATTATCCTTCTCCACTTCAGGTACCGATCTGACCCTTAAATTCACTTGTTTTTCTTTCAACTCAATCATAGACAGGGTTAACTTATGATCTTCCAATTGTTTATGTAACGGTGGTACCTTCTCTTGAACCTCTTGAACCTCTGTAACAGACGCTGTAGCAATTTCTTTAGCCTCTTCGGCAATCTGACGTGTTGAGGCCGATTCCTCTAATAATTTCTGAATAGTCTCTGTATTAGTATTTACTTTCTGGCCCAAGTTATTTAAACTTGCTGTATTTTGATTAATACTTGTTGTATTTTGATTAATACTTGTTGTGTTTTGATCAATCTTATCTGATGCCTCTGCTACTTGTTTACTTATTCTATCCAAAGATTCATTAATTTTAGCCAAAACTTGAGCAAAGGTGTCATCACTTGCCATACCTTTAGTTTTGGGTTGTGCCAATGGGACTGCTATTGGAACCCCAGAGGGGCCAGAGGTCGAAGCTCTTCTTTGCAATCCACCGTCTGTTCGCAATACTCTGCCTGACCTTGTTGCTTGTAACGACTCTAATTTTTCTTTCCCATCTGCCATACCCCTTTAGATAAAACTCAAGGTCAGTCACACAGTTAAGTTCAAAATTGTTTTGAAGTGGAAAGTTCCAAAAGGACCGTGTGGGAAAATCCTCAGGCCAGCTGCAATTACAATTGTAGCTAGTTGTAACAAATCCAAATTCCACTAGGGGGACACTGTAACAGTCATAAAGTTCTTAAATGTTTTACTTCTTCTTTAAGTCCCCCCAGTTTATCAGAAAGATAACAATCTATCTTAAACAGTTACTTTAAGACCAGGAGATATCTATCCACAATATTGTATCCAAATTGTATTTCCAGTGCAGGACTAGCTGTCAAAATATATTCAAAGACAGTACCTTTTCTCCAACTTTTAAATTGTCTCTGGGAGTCCGTTCCCAAGGGGTTGAGCGATGGTTTTTATCTTCTTTTTCTCACCTCTTCTTGAAGAAATAGCATTCCAAGTTTCCCCCCCTTTTCCCTCAAGTTGAGGGGGGAAAGTCCTGGTTAGATGATTGGATTAAAGACCGTTTATGCGTCTTTTTCTAAGCTTCCGCTTTCAAGTTCAATGCTTTGTTTTATCTACAACGGAGAGAGGCAGACTTCCTTTTTATACCTCTCCGCTTTCGGCCGAATTCCCTTTGAATTTGTACAGTTCCAATTGCATAAAATCCTACTCACGGATCGTTGATTTTCAAAGCCAAATTTCCAAGAAAGAAAGGCAGCGCTCTCCGGTCACAGCTCGCGGCTTCACTCCACGGAAGAAGCAAACCACCCACAGCACAGCGCTCCTTCCCCCGCTCCAATTCTGAACCCGTTGCCGGGCTTTTTCACGGGTTGGGGGGGGCTCCAAACATGCCCACTGGGTCCCAAGTTCACAGGCTTCCCCCGCCTGTGATTTCAGGGGTCCCCTGCTATGCCGAAGCGGGATCCGACCCTGTTTTCCATAGAGCGATTTCCTCCGATCCGAGGAAATCCGCCATTAACCGATGGCGCTTCAATTTCCTGCCCAGAGCCTCGTAGTCTCTTTTGATCTTCTGGAGGCTATTGCTTGCAGTGTCATTGGTTCCCACATGAACCAAGAGGAGGGGGTATTTGTCAGTGGGTTTTATGATTCCTTGCAGTCGTTCAGTTACATCTTGGATCTTAGACCCGGAGACAGCACACTTCCCGAGACATCTTGTCAGGCCCACAGATCACTGCTTCTGTTCCCCTCAGTAGGGAATCCCCTATCACCACTACACGCCTCCTCTTAGGTTTGGTCGGGGTTCTTCCGTGAGCTGTCCGTTCCAAGGTTGCCTGCACATTCCCTGAGGACTGACTTTGCTGCTCGTCTTCATATACCTGATCGACTGTAATGAGGGAGAGATCCTCAAATGGAGTCTGCTCTTTGTCTTCCATGCTAGGGAGAGGACCTCAAAGCGATTGTGTATTTCTAAACAATCAGAGCGAACCCTGGGCCTCCTACTTCTTTGAGTCACGTTTCTCCATATATCTGGCTCCTGTGTTGGTGAACTAGCCTCCTTCTCAGGGGAGTCCCCTGTCTCCTTCTCGGTGGAGACGGTGTGCTCTGTTGTTTCCAAGAAGAGCTCCAGCTCTCTAATTCTTTGGAGCGTAGCTACACGTTCCTCCAGTTGTTGGACTTTGTCTTCTAAGAGGGCAATCAACATGCAATTGCTGCAGGTAAAGCTGCCTGCAACCTTTGGCAAGATGGCAAACATTACGCAGGAACCGCAGGCAACTGCAGCTGTTCCTTCCCCCTCAATCTTGAGAACGTGTCGTTGGGGGTGGCTACAGCGGTCCTCCATCATAAAAAGCGTGAAGACAGGACAAATAACTCCCCCCCCCCAAATCCTAGGTCTCCCCCAACAAACGTTTGAGACTAGCTCCCCTAAATCTAAAAGATGGATCAAACTGTGCACGCCACAGGGAGAGCATCTAATCAGCCACAAAGAAACACACACACAAGAAAACCCTTTTTGCACCTTCTTCAGCTGCTGCCCTGCAAGCTCTGTTTATAGATGCATGCAAAGTTTATAGATGATTTGTTCTGTATAACTTATGATGACAATGGTGCTGTTGTGTCCAATGTTGATTCTTGTTGTGTTGCACAAACTAACAAAGTTCTTCATGCAGGATGTATTCACGAGGCGCACCAAGATGGCGCCTGCCAACAGGGCTGGAGGCCGAAAGCCTCACTTAAAATGGCGGACGCACCGAGCTCGTACCACGTGGTCGACCGAAATGGCCGCCGGAAGCGGCGGTTGCCCTGCCGACAAATAAACACAACTCCCGGCAAGATCGCGCTTCCCGCTGTACTCACAAAGCAATCGGGCGGTCCCCGCAATCAACCGCAGCCAGGCATGGCCCCCGAAGCAGCAGAGATAAGCACCCGCGAATTACAAATGAAAGAACGAAGCAGCCAAACCTCAAACCTCCGCGTTATCCGCGCTCCAATCTGTGTCCCTCCGAGGTCCTCCCCTGAGCCGCGGGCGAATGGCACCGAATCCCCAAAGAAGGACTACGTGCCGTGGGGCGCGGTGAAAAAGCACGAGTGCTCTGAACCAGCCAGGCACCGCGTCGATCACGCTGTGATGTCCGTGGCTCCCAGGCAGCAGCGGCAGCCGCGAAGACAAAGCGATCCCGGCTCCCTTCTGCGCTGCAGCCGATCGAGCTCTCCTGCAGCGAGACCGAGGCTCCACGCTATCCGCGGCGCAGTCGAGGCAGCTCAGAAACACGAAGCGAGGCGCGGAAAACAGAAGTCGCTCAGAAAATATCAGCTCCAAAAGAAATATAAGCTCCAAAAATAACTGCTCCGAAAATATCCGATCAGCTGGCGAGGGGAAAGAGGGCGGTCCCCGGGCGTGCCTGGCCTTAAGTAGGCAAGGCCACGCCTCCCCGGCCCGCCGATTGGCGGATCGGGTCGCAGGCACGCCCGGGGATTCCCTGGGTCTCGCGGGGGCAAAAGGCCAGCCCCCGCGTGTGGGAGGGGGTCGCCCGCAACCCCCTCTCCTCCGAAGTCGGAAATGGCTCTCTGACACCTTGCCTGTCTTTGTTCCCTCCTCTTAATTTCTCTGTGTTCTGGGAGATCAGCAGGGACGGGAGCTGATCGCAGTAGGATGGGGAGACCCCCTGGCTTCTTCAGCAGCCTGCCTGATCTCTGCCTCTTGACCCCCGCCTCCAGCCTCCACTTCTGCCTCGGATTCTGGGCTGCTGTTTGCCACAGAATCTTCCTGCCCTCCTGCCTCTTCAGTTTCCAACACCTCCTCTTGCTCACAGTCAGCTCCCTCTTCTCCCTCGGACGACCCCCCACCAGTTCCCTGGCTCTGAGCCTTCTTCCCTTGGGGGATCCCCAGTTGGTGACACCTGCCACTCCTATCTGCATCCAGCCGGCCCAGGACAGCAAGCAATGAACAGAGCTGGTAGACATCCCAGTACCTTGCATCTTCTAGGTGCAGCTGGTGCTCATCTTTGTCAGGAAGGACCAGCTCAGCCGCATCAAGGAAGTGATGAGGGAGACAGTGGGCACAGGCATCATGGGGGAGATGGTGAGTAGACCCTGACAGCGGAATTCCCTACGTCTATCTTTCTGTCTGTCTATCTGTTTTTCTAATCTCTGCCAACCAGTTTTCCCCTCTTTCCTGCTTGCTCAGTAACAGCCTTCCTTGCTCCGCCCCTGAAGGGTAATAAGGGGTGTGTGGCTGTGAGGTTTGTCTGCAACAATACCAGCTTCTGCATGGTCAATTCCCACCTTGCTGCCCACGTGGAAGACTTCGGGCGCCGAAACCAGGATTACAAGGATATCTGTGCCCAGATAATGATGATGATGATGATAATAATAATAATAGTAATAGTAATAATAATTAATAATAATTTTTATTTATACCCCGCCCTCCCCAGCCAAGGCCAGGCTTAGGGCAGCTAACAAGCAATAATTAAAACAAGTTGAATGAATATAACTTAAAAACAAGATTAAAATACAGCATTAAAATATTGAAACATTAAAATGCAGCCTCATCACAGGAGGAGAAAGGAAAAAGAAAGAGGGGGAGGGAATCAAATTGGCTCCAAGCCAAAGGCCAGGCGGAACAACTCTGTCTTACAGGCCCTGCGGAAAGAAATCAGATCCCACAGGGCCCTGGTCTCATGAGACAGAGCGTTCCACCAAGCCGGAGCCAGTGTTGAAAAGGCCCTGGCTCTGGTTGAAGCTAATCTGACTTCCTTAGGGCCCGGGACCACTAGGGTGTTGCTATTTATGGACCTTAAGGTCCTCCGTGGGGCATACCGGGAGAGGCGGTCCTGTAGGTCTTAAGCTGTGAAGGGCTTTTAAGGTCAAAACCAGCACCTTAAATCTGACCCTGTACTCCACCAGGAGCCAGTGCAGCTAGAAAAGCACTGGGTGAATATGCTCCCATGGCATAGACCCCGTGAGGAGCCTCGCTGCAGCATTCTGCACCCACTGGAGTTTCTGGGACAACTTCAAGGGCAGCCCCACATAGAGCGAATTACAGTAGTCATGCCTGGAGGTGACCGTTGCATGGATCACTGTTACCAGGTCGGGGCAGGAAAGGTAAGGGACCAACTGCTTGATGCAGCGAAGGTGGAAAAATGTCAACTTGGCTGTTGCTGTAACCTGCGCCTCCATGGAAAGGGAGGCGTCAGGGATTACACCCAAACTCTTAACAGAAGGCAATGGCACTAATAGAGCCCCCGCAAGAGAAGGGAGTTGGTCCCTCATCCCCATGCCATCCCAACCCAGACATAGGACCTCTGTCTTCGAAGGATTTAGTTTCAATCAGCTCCCACGAAACCATCCAGCCACAGCTTCCAAGCATCTGCTCAGTGTGCCCGGGGCCGAGTCAGTGCGGCCATCCATCAGCAGGTAGAGCTAAGTGTCATCAGCATATTGGTGACAGCCCAGCCCAAAGCTTGGGACAATCTGGGCAAGGGGGCGCATAAAGATGTTAAAAAGCATCGGGGAGAGGATTGCGCCCTGCGGCACTCCACACACCAAGGAGTGGCATGACGACGACATCTCCCTCCCTAGCACCACCCTCTGTCCCCGACCAGAGATAAAAGAGCACAGCTATGCCCTTTATCCCCACTTCGGTGAGGCGGTGGTCCAGAAGATCATGATTGACCATGTCAAAGGCTGCTGACAAAGCGAGAGCTAGCGGATGCAATGGAAGCTGCGAAGTAAGATTTCTTAGCAGCTTTCATAGCCATCTCATAGGCTTTCATAAGCGTCCTATAAGATGTTCTTGGAGCTCCGTCACGCCATACCCGCTCTAGCCGTCTGAGATCCCGCTTCATTTTCCGGAGCGCCTCAGTAAACCAAGGGGCCTGGTTTCGACGGGGTCGCAGAGGGCGCTTAGGCACGATCTCATCGATGGCTGCCAAGAGCCGGTTATTCCAGTCCTCGACAAGGTCATCTAATGAGTCGCCAGGAGGAGCAGGGTCCCGCAAGGCCTGACAAAATCTATCAGGATCCATCAGCCTTCTCGGGCGAGCCCAAATAGGCTCGCCACCTGAGCAGGGGAGGAGCAGGAAGTCAATCTTGTCTTTCAGAGCGTAGTGATCAGACCATGGCACTTCCACAGGGGGAAGCATGATCACATCTATGCCAGCACCAAAGATCAGATCCAGCGTGTGGCCTGCTTGATGAGAGGGGCCCAAAGCAAACTGGGAGAGCCCTAGTGTTGCCATGGAAGTCACTAGGTCCAGACCCTGTGAGGAGGGGGCGGCATCGGCATGGACGTTGAAGTCTCCCAAAACCAATAGGCTTGGGAACTCCAAGGCCCAGCCCGCCGCCACCTCCAACAGGTCTGACAGGGTGGCTGCCGGTGCGCTGGGTGGTCGGTACACCAGTCAGACAGCCAAGCTCTCCTTGGTGCCCCACATGAGACCAACACATTCAATGCCGGAGATTGCCGGTGCTGGCAGAGCTCTGAAAGAGCAATCCTCCGGGATTAACAACGCTACTCCTCCCTCCCCCCCCGACCCACAGTCTGCGATTGATGGAGGACAGGACTTCCGGGTTGGCGCCTCCAGCAATGGTGGAGCTCCTCCGTTCGGGAGGAACTTGCTCCGTGAAAAACAGGGTCTGACCGCCACGGCGAAGGTGGAGACCCATTGAAATCACAAGCGGGAGAAGCTTGTGAACCTGGGATTCGGCTGGCACCTTTTGCGCCTCCCCTACTCGCGGGGAAACCCTGTTTTGGGGGTCCGGAGCGACGTGGGGTGAGTGGCGCAGTGCTTTGAATCGACTGCTTTTTTCACGGAGTGAAGCCACATTGCTGTTGCCGGAGAGCACTGACTTTTTCCTGTGGACAATTGGATTTTAAACAACTACGCGTGAGTAGAACGGAAAATTGGATTTTTAAATACTTTAATTTGGCATTGAAACGGGAAGGTTGTAAACAGGAAGTCCGCCTCCCATTTTTGTAAATAGACTGAAGCAAATACGTTACAAGTTTAAGCCTTTGAAAGCTTTTGGCAAAGGATTAAATTTCCACCGGTTTAAAATACAAAACCCCCCTTGGAAGCAGGAGAAGAGGGGGAAATTTTGGATCTAGTGAGCCTGCAGGAGAGAGTGAAAAATCAAATTACCACTGCTCTGAACCTGGGAACGGGCTGCCAGATGACGTTTGGAGAGAGTGCATTTGACAGAACGGATTTGACAGCTAGCTAAATAAGAGTAAGATACTGTTTCCATTGTCCTTTTCTGCGCTTAAAAAAGAGGAAAAGTAACTGAAAATTTATCTTTAATGCTTGAGTTGTGCCTGAAAGAACTGATACAAGTGGAGACTGTTTCCCTCTAGAGGGAGCTTTTGAAACTGTAACAGGAGTGTAACTGGGGATTCCCAGCTGCAGATAAGGATTCTGAGAACCAGAGAGCGACCTTGGACCATTTAAAAATGTTGACAGGAGAGGCCATTGTGACTGTTTTATGCAAGATAAGCTGTTCGCTGGGACAACTTCACAAGAAGATGGATGACATGACTTTTAAAGTTGATAATTTGGAACAGAAAGTGGGCAATTTGAGTCAAAAAGCGAACACCAACACAGAAATAATTCAGGACTTGGTACAGGAATCCATTTTGGCAGGACAAATGGTGGAGGAGAAGGAGGAGAAGGAGAATGTTGCTGTTGTTGAACATAAAATAATACAAGTGAGATATGTGGCTTTACAGAAGCAAATTGAGGACTATAAGTTGAGGCCTTTTATGATTGAATCTAGGAAAAGTCAGACTCTGAGGAATGGATCCCGGTTTGGATTAAAGAAGGAAAGTTGGAAAGAGCCCTCTATGCAGGGATTAACTGACTTTTGGGACATGGACTCGGGCCTGGAGGAGATTGAAGTTTTGGGGGCCTTTGGACTTGGAGGAATCCTGAAATATGCCCTGAAATACTTTATGGACTGTAGCTTTAACTATGGAAATTTAGCTGATTTGTTCAGAAGGAAGAAAAGGATTGACAGGTTGGAGTTTCCCCGAGATTTGCTCTTTAGCATTAAAGAAAATGAAGAAGACCTGCAGAAGGGACTTGGAAAAGAGTTAAGAGCCTCGGACATAAGATCACCAGGTTGATGGACTTTATGGAGCTGACAGAAAGGGCTGGCAGAATCCGAAACCTGGGAGAGGAGATGGTGGAAGAAGATTGGAAAATTTAAAGTATATATATAAACTTATGGTAAAACTAATGAGTGATAGAAAAATGGTGGAATGATTTTTTTTATTTTTTATTTTTTATGGGCTTAGTAGAAATGTTATAAGGAGTTAAGCATATATAAGTATTTTAGTTTTAATGG